TATATATATATATATATATATATATATATATATATATATATATATATATATATATATATATATATATATATATATAATTCCATTAGGAAAGGGAATATAATTATATATATATATATATATACTTTGCAAAATAGTGCTCATTATTGATAAGCTATCATTTTGTTAGATAACTCATGACATGTTGAACAGATTAGCAAAATTTCGAGAGCAAAGAAGAATAAGCCTTTTTAATGCACCTACAATTCCATTAGGAAAGGGAATATAATTAGCTGCTAATTTGACTATAGAAGCTTTGCTACTCTCAACTTTTGACGAGTTTGAATCTGTTCATTCTATAAACACATTTAGGTAATCATTTATAACCTTTTTCCAACTATTTTATCTTCTCAATACTTCAGTTTAGGTACAAATCTATACAGTAACAAAAAGTGGCATTGCTAGTGCGCAGAAATTTGAAGAACTTCTTCGGATCAGTGCACCAAAGGTCAATATAACGGCAAAAGAAATAGCAAAAAGTACAGCTTCATTTCGGGCAATCCTTGAATCACCCGTTATTTTCGATCCTCCGGAGTGCGATTTGCATATCGTAGTATTAGATATGCGAAATATGACCATTTATGACCGTATTACGCCTCTGACACCGGAAATATCACCTGTTGTTTTAGAAGGACTACGGCCTTATCACCGTTATATTATAAGTTCCCAGGTGCATCTTTCGACATTTCTTACGTAATGTAAACTAGAAAGCGCTTGAATCAAGTTTAGTAAGTTTAATTCACTTGACTAAGGCTGAATACAGGTACATTTTTCTCATTCATATTCAAAAGCTGTTGTCACTGTGATCTTCGTTTACTTATATTCTTTTTAGACATCTGTCATGCATTTTAGTAACAAAAAATAAATTTTTGTTTAGAGTTATTTGAAAGCAAGTTGTGGAGTATAAGTATAAATTTAAATTCCGGATAAATTTTTGCAATCAGTAAAGGATCTGTTTTCAGGTTATCTGTGGCAAACCAAATGATAAGAGTTGTTTGCCGAAACTTCGGGCAATGGAACCAGTCTTTTTCGAAACGCGGCAAGATCGACCGGGACCAGTACGGAATCTAATGGTGCGCATATTGAATCCATATAGTGTGCAATTATTTTGGCTACCGCCATCTTTGCCAAATGGCATTATCACGCATTATATCATTGGCATACATTCTATGGTTTGTTTTTTTCAATTTTTTTTAATTCGAAGTGATTCCTAGTTCTTTTTTCTTTTTTTTCCAGTAAAATATAATTTACTGAAATAGATTCTAGATATTGATGAGTGTGCAAATGATTGCTTGACAAACCAAAAAAGAGAACAGCCTATAAATCGAAAGTTGAGGACAAATGATTGTCTAAAATTTCAACTCCTGAGAATCTATTTCTGTAAAATGAAGTTAGGCAC